AATCAGGGAGGATGTGAATCAGGGAGGATGTGAATCAGGGAGGATGTGAATCAGGGAGGATGTGAATCAGGGAGGATGTGAATCAGGGAGGATGTGAAGTGAGATCCACTGGAGATCAGATTTGTTCCGATGTCATCTTGTGCATCAGGTGACTTGAAGAACCAAATACTAGAATTGATCAGATGAGTAGATGATCCTGGGACCTGCCTTTTTGATGCCCCGAATAGCACATTCAATTGGTCAAGTACCTGGTATGTACGGTTTGTGCTGATGTACATGGAGGATCGTTGTGTCACGTATACCAAAGAACATCACAGCGACGGTTACACTGCCAGGAAGGGAAGGCACGCGCCATTAATGGATTCGGAGCCGCCAGTGTTGGCCAGTGGCTACATATGTGGTGGGTCACGTGCACTGGTCTTGGCAAAGAAACACATCGAGTCCTCCGTCAAAGGTGATTATATTATAAATACTGCATATGACAACTTCAATTGATCACTCGCAGTTCCACAACTGCAGCCCTCACGCTGCACAGTGTTCTTCGATCTGAGAACCTGACGCCATGGGACCGCACATCGTTGCGTATAGCAGACACTATACCGCCACAGCACGACTCGGCCCTGTGGCAGCCTGTCCCACATCGGCTCCGCAGTTTGAACCCCGACCCGAGTTTCCCCAAGCTCGAGGGATAAGCTCGACCGAGGTTATCAACTCGGAAGAAGCCATCCGCCTGATGTGCCTGTGCGGTTACACTGTCAATCCTGAAGGGATACATAGTATCTTCTGCGGCATCCACGATGTTTGGCCACTAAGGATAAAATACTTAGTCCCCCCCAGCAAGCTGCACGGAGAACGGATTTGCTCGGCTTTATGCAAGAAGCTGGCCTGGTCGCTGAGAACCAACGAGGAGGTACTATTATAATACGATTTACAACTCACAATTCGGCACTGTCGTCTCCATCCACAGCTCTGAACTGAAGATGCCGTACAGCTCTCCTTTCCCACCGTTGGACATCCCAAAATGCAACATCCTCTCCTACCTGTTCCCTCCTGGGAAGACACCGTCCACGAAACCACTATGGTTCGATGCCGCCGACACATCGCACAACCTCTCGCCCGCCCAGATGTTATCCTGGGTGAAGAGATTCGCTGTCGGCCTCGATCGACTTGGCGTCAAACAGCAGGAAGCGGTCATGGTGTTCACGCCCAATCATCTTTACGTGCCTATGGCGTATCTCGCGGCTGCTGGTTCCAAACGGTTCTTCACGGGGGCGAATCCCATTTACACGGTCAACGAGGTCGCTCATCAGATGAAGGCGATAGAGGCAGCCGTCGTGCTCATTCATCCGACTCTGCTTGAAACTGGCGCCGCTGCAGCAAAGCAAGCCAATATCCCGCCGAACAGGCTGTTCATCTTCTCAGACTCGGAGCATCCGACCACGAATGGCATCAAAGACTGGCGATCAATGGTAGCTTCGGAGCCGGAAGCCGAGTCCTGGAAATGGGATCCCCTCGAGGGCGAGGCTGCTCTGAAAACCGTCGCCGCCATCAATCTCTCCAGCGGAACCACTGGCCTGCCAAAGGGAGTCTGCATCACACATCGCAATCTGGTCGCCAATGCTGCGCAGTGTATCTTCAACAAGTACGAGGGCACCGAGTACTCGGAGCAAGATCCCGGTCCGGAGCGTTGGCTGGCCTTCCTACCTCTCTATCATGCATACTCCCAATTATGGACGATCAATATCGCGTGTAGGCTTCATGTGCCGGTCTACGTCATGTCGAAGTTCGTGTACGAGGACTTCCTCAAGTACATACAGAAATACAAGATCACGACGCTACAACTAGTTCCGCCCATACTCATCATGTTCGCGAAACGGCCCGAGACAGCCAAGTACGACATCAGCAGCCTCAAACAGCTCCTTTCCGGTGCAGCGCCTCTGAAAAGCGACCTGCAAAACGAGATCATGGAGCGATTCAACGTGACCATCGTCCAGGGCTGGGGCATGACCGAGACGACTTGTGCAGGGATCATGATGCCGGGGATGAACAAAGACCTGACCGGGTCGATCGGACACCTCCTGCCCAACACCGAAGCCAAGATTATCGACGAGGACGGCAAAGAAGTGACTGCTGAAGGCGAGCCAGGCGAACTCTGGCTCCGAGGACCCCAGATGCTGCTGGAGTACTGGAGGAACAAGGAAGCCACGAGGGAGAGCAAGACGGAGGACGGGTGGTTCAAGACGGGCGACGTCGCCGTGCGGAAGGGCGACAAGTGGTGGATCGTGGACCGGAAGAAGGAGCTCATCAAGGTCAACGGACTGCAGGTTGCACCCGCCGAGCTCGAAGCCGTGCTGCTCGAACACGAAGATGTCGCCGACGCAGCCGTCGTGGGCATCACCATCCACGGCGAGGAGTTACCCCGAGCTTACGTCGTTCTGCAGGAGCGAGCCAAGGGCAAGACGACCGAAGAGGACATTAAGGCTTTCATCGCAGGCAAAGTGGCCAAGCATAAACGCCTGGCTGGGGGGGTTAAGTTCGTCGACGAGGTGCCAAAGCTGGCCAGTGGCAAGATTGTGCGCAAGTTGATGAAGGAGTGGGCCAAACGAGATGCCCAAGAGATTGAAGCCAGCGTGAAGGCAAGACTATGAATGACCTTCCGAGAAGGAAAGCGACGACAACCACTTGCATCCAGGTGGTATCACTCACTTACGGCCCTTCTCGCCCGCGAGCCGCCCGGAAGGAGTACCATCAACGGTACAAGCTGCGGCAACATTTTGAAGATTGTCCTCGTCCACATACCGGCAACACCCAATCCTGGGCATCTTGGGAATGTATGTCGGGCAGACGGCACCGGGGCTGTGGACTAAACAAATCCCTTCAACCAAATATGGAGCACCCGGACTGTATTCGGACGAAACTCACATCGATATATGAGGACATATAGGACTTATCGGAAAGAGAAGGGGAAAACCTTGTTTGCCTCAACGCTAGACTGCACGTCTGCATGGACCAAACGTTCCAGCCGTCGCGCCACTCGATTCGACACCACACCCGTAGTATTGGATAAATGGATGGATGTGTATATGCATGTATTTATGTGGTGCCACCGCTTCAACCGTCAGAGACGGCCTCCATTCCATCGAGTCCACGCGTGCATACTCCCGTACGGTAGTAACGAAACAGCTCACCGCCCCAGTTTGCATGGATCTGACAGTCGTAAAGAATACTAATTAATGTAGTACCTATATACAGTAGGAACTTTCGTCTCCTCGACCCTGGCCAGCTACATACTACTTTCTAGTAGCTATGCATGTGTCTCTGTAACGTAACATGACATGTACTCGGGACGGCCATCCCGCTTCATGTAATACTTTCCGCGAATACACCCCTCTCGTCATACCCGCGCCCCTACATAGCGAACTCGGGAGACGTCTGTCTCACTATCAGATGGACGTGGCCCTTCGACGTCATCAAGATACAGTAGACTGATGGTCACTGGCCGAGGCATATGCATGCTTATGGCGAGAATATCTTCTTCGGAATGGAGACAGACAGACAGACAGACAGACAGACAGACAGACAGACAGACAGACAGACAGACAGATCGATAATAGGTATATGATTCTAGGTGAGGGTGTCAAGATATATACGGAGTATACTTACCGTACTCCGTAGTAGAACCATGTCATGAGAACTCACTTGTACGCACGCAGCATTAGGGTCAAGCGACGGCGGTAAACAGTCTGTTCACTGTTCACAGAGCTCGTGCATTTTCATTGCTACTGGTATCCCGCTTGATGCAGAAATGCCGCTACGTACTATCAGAAATCCAAGCCGCCACTCTGCACGGCCACGACTGTTCCTGTTTTTGTTTTCCTTCCCCTGGCTACCTCGTCGGCCTTGGTCGCTTCTTTCGGCTTCCCCTTTCGATCGACCCGTTCGTCTCTGGGATCAAACCCGCCGTTGCCCCAGAGCGCCCACTCTGGCGTCTCCTTGCAGTAATCCTCTGGTTTGAAATCTTGCCCCCCTTGCAGTAACGCGAAGAATCTGTCGTAGTCAATGATGGTGTGCCACTTGCCGTCAATCAAGAAGCGGTTCGACGCAATCAGCGCGCAACAGCTGTGCGCGTGCTCGGCCGCGATTCCATATTCGAGGCCTCTCTTCGCAAGAGCGGTATTCAAAGCTTCCACAAAGGCAACCACCTCTTCGTAGAAGGGAACGTTTTGCATGGTGAGGCCGGCTGAAGAGGAAGTCGACGTCCCGCAGTAAGTGACGCCCTTGATCTCGACGAAGCAGGGTAATCCCTTGGCAACCAGGTCTGCGTACCCTTCCACTTCATCCTCCACATTGAAGCCCTTCACCAGCGTGAGCCGGAAGACGGTGCGTTGCTCAAATCTCTTGGCTCGCAGTATGTCCAGACAAGCGTTGAAGCGTTCCCAGAAATCACGGTGTAGAGGACGGTCAATCTTGCGCAGACTGTCCCGGTTGCTGGCGTCGATGCTCACGTACAGTTGCGTGACTCGTCTCAGATCGTCGAGCTGCTGCGGATGTTGGGCATTGCACACCAAGAAACTCGATATGCGCTCGCCGTGTAAGAGGCCGACGAACTCGTTGATCCGTGGATAGAAAATCGGTTCACCCACGAGACTCAGCGCGCAATGCCTGATTCGCATGGCTTCTTCGAATCGTTCGCTCCGCACGCCCGGCACGCCGCGCATCATCTTAATCTTCTTGTAGTGCCCCTCTTTGGCGCCGTCGAAGATCATCTTTGGGTCGTCGACCTGCCACCGCCACGTCGTGGAGACCGGGTTGGTGCCATGCCTCCAGCAGAAGACGCACTTGTTGCTACATGACAGGGACGGCGTGGTTTCCATACACAGATGGGAAGCAATGCCGTAGAAGGAGTTTTTGTAGCAAGAACCGCGACCGCGCAGGGCGGATTTGGTCCATCGGCAGATCTTGACGCCTGAGTGGGTGCCCACGATCGTGTAGCCCTGTTTGGTCAGAGCTGCGTGAGTAGGCGATTCCCTGGGCACCATGGCCTTTAATGGGACAGGTGCGGAGGTGGAAGTGGTCGAGTACTTGGTGAAATCGATCGCCACAGGGGCGCTCTTCCCACCGACGTCCTCGACATCTGTGGTATTAGCCAGTTTCCGCCGCTTGTTGCGCCCTGAGTCGGGGAAGTCATCGTCGTTGTCGTACCCGGCATCTGGCTCGTCCTCCTGGTCGCTCTCAACAGCGGCCCCGCTGCCAGGGACACCGTCTCCGAGCGTGCCGGAAACACTGAGCTCCTGGAGAACATCACACACTCCACCTGTCCACTCCTTCGTCGCTTGCTCGATGTTGCTCTTCACATCGCCCAGTCCCAATGGGTATGCTCTTTTCCGGCGCGTTAGTTTGGCCATCCATCTGTCTACTTCCACGGCCTGTGAACAGAATCCTCTCTCCTCTGTAGGCCATCCTTCTCTGTCTCCGATGCCGAAGACCGTATACCCTGCCAATGAGGCGAGCGGTGCGGTGTCGATGCGGAAGTCATTGTGGGTTTCATCAAGGTGCGCGAGGAAGGTATTCAGGATCGTATCGATGTCGTAGGATGGAATGAGCAGCAGGTAAAAATATCGCACATTCTGGGCTGACTTGTTTGTCTTGGGCCCGGTGATAAAGTAGTCGTCGAGATCGATGTATGAGAGATCGTACACTTCGGGCTTGAGGATCGGGGACTGGGTGGTCGCAAGCGATTCGAGTTCAGCAGCTACCTTCTTCGACAGCTGTTCAGTTGTGCCTGTCAATGACGAGAAGAAGACCAAGGGCTGTAGATAAGACGGGTTCGTTTGTCTCTGGGGTGATGTGTGCCCTCTGGAACTGACCGGCTTGCGTCCGGTCACGACACGGGCCGCTGCTGGTCGAGGTTTTCGAGCCTGGCCAGAGGTAAGCTGATCGACGTATATGGAAGTTGTCTCGTTCTTCTCATTCGTGGCGGTTCTGGCAGCACCCTCGTCTGCCGCGAGCCAATCTGCTTTCTCTAGCCCTGGAGAAGAATCGCGTAATGTGATTCTGGCGGCACGCCTGCGCCGCACAATGATGGCAAGGACGCTCAGGACCAGGCCCGAGGCGAGGAGGATACGATGGTCATGCCACGAGGTCAGCAGACGGTCCAGCCAGTCTGCCAGAATGACCGGCGCCGCGTCTTCGCCCATGTCCATGGTTGGTCGTGGTATATGCCGGCGACAAATATTGAGAAAAGTCGAGGACTGCGATGCGATGCGGGGACTCAAGAGCACACGCCGCTTTAATTCGATGGTTCCAACTCATTGGTTGATTGTAAAATGTCCAGCAAACGGTCTCAGCGTTGTCCCTTGTCTAAGTCTCGATACATACATACGGCAGGCACCACGACATTTGTGCCTACTATTTTCCTCCGCTGCTCCAATGTGGCTGAATCTGACTATCCTGGTGTTGATGAGCTTTGCTTGAGCTGAATGGATCGTGGACGCGATATTTCCAAGGCAATGGCTCGATTGTCGTCTGATGAAGAGGATGCGAGGCTCTGGGACATGACATGGGGATTTCTCGGGCCGTCTCTTGAGGCATGGCTTTACGTCCTCCAAGCATGCTGCATATACTGACTGATTGTGCTGCCCTTACTGGGACAGCTGTACTCATACCTATGTGATATCAATCCCATCTACCGGCCTGCCAGGGGATGCCTCATTTTGGCACGACGATGAGGCGACGTCGCGAGCAATTCCAAGACGGACACCGTGCTTTCAGATCAACGAGAACTCGACCTCTACCGTCGTTCGGCTACCAGTACCAGTACATGTACACGCACATGCACGTGTATCTGGACTTATACCGGGTCCACTGTCTGCAAGGGGACCCCTTACATGACAAAGGTGAGGCATGCCGTCTACAAGGGACACAGTATAAGGTGCTCGAGTTTGATCAAGTCCCATGTTCGAAGGGGCGGGACGAACCGGCAAGGGCTTCAGGTTGAACTGAATTGATCGAACAGTGGGAAGAGAACGGAGCTGAAAGATGTCATGTGTACAGCATACAGTAGAGCTCTGGCGTGGAGCGGTATACTCGCAAACAAGAGACAACAATCTGTAATGTAGTCTCTGGCCAATATGGGCCTTATCTTGCTCTGACATGCGTTGTCTTTTGCCTTGCCCTGCTCTGCCCTCCACGACTGCCGGAAAACGGGCATCAGGCGAACGGTACTAGCATAGTAGATACACCGTATGAACCGTGCACTCGTCCCTCACTCCTTCATTGCTGTGTCTGTGTCCGCATCCGCGTCCCGCTCCGTCCGAAGGCACAGCTTAACAAGTGGCCAACAGTTTGCCGCCGGCAGTGCTGACCACACTGCAACCCTCTCCGCTCCGCTATCTACAGATCGAATTTTCCGAAGGAGGTACAGGACTCGAAGGACACGACTGTAGAAGCACCGTGCCGACTGTACTATTTACAACGTACCGGTGGTAGTTATTATCCACGATGGAACAACATGAGACGCTGATCTTTCATAGTCATAGTTAATCAAGCTGTGAGTGTTACTCCGAAAGTTACTCGTTCACAGCCATCGATTCATCATTTGATTTGCCCTCCTTTCTGTCTCTTCGATCTACATCCCCTCCCCTTTCCCCTCCCACCACCAGCATGTCTATGTGTGTGTGCGCGTATAGTATGCATGTTTGCATGAATAAATGAGGCCGCCACTCCGTCTCACAAATAAACCGTCCAGTGAGCGTCATCCAGTCGGGTCCATTCAGGTCCGGTCTGTATGTGTGTGCGTGATGAGTACGTGTATGCCCGCCCATCCTAGGTAATATAATATAACGGATGTTCAATCAGCCTCTCCAGGGGTATTTGACGTGATATCAGTATCGGCCGTAACATCGTCAGTAAGTAAGTGCGGTGTTTGCGGCTCCGCAAGCAAGTAACCAACCCACCCAACCCAATCCAACCCAACCAACCAAGCCAGCGAGCGAGTACGTATAAGTACGCAAGTAAGCAAATACGCAAGCAAGTACTGTGTAACGGAAAACGCAACCAAGGACTTCGTGAGTAGATACGTGATCGGCTGGAACCGCCGGTTTCGCAGCATGCCTCCCACCCCATACCACCACACCCTTCACCAGGAAAGTACCTTGTGCACGCACGCACACACGCACACACGCATGCATGTATGTATGTGTGTGCACGGGCAGCGGAGCGTCCGCCCACAACGCCATCCACGGAGGCCACACCAAACCCCGTGAAGGTCTCATGCGAATGCGCGGATCAATTCCTCACAGATATTCGTGATGGCCGTTCTGCCGGCTTCGAGCACGGCGTCCATGGCGAGGAAAGGGTGTGGCATCCCCTCGGCGATGCTTAACTCGGTGGGGACGCCATTGGCGGTGAGCTTCCGGGCGTATTCCTCACCGTCGTGCCTCAGGACATCCAGTTCGCCGACGATGATATACGACCGGGGTAACAGCTTGAAGACGTCGTCCGGGGCCAGAAGAGGGGAGGCCTCCCTACCTGACCAGTCGGCCTGGTTCGGTAGGTAGTGGTGCCGGTACCAGAGCATTTTCTTCGCGGGCAGGTGGGCTGTGAACTCGAACGCCTTCCACGTGGGACTGGAGCAGGGCGTGGCCGTATTGTCGGTCACGGGCACGACCAGGACTTGCGACCGCAGCGACACGCCGGGCTGGGGCCTGAGCACGGCCTTCTGCGCGATGACCGCCGCGATGTTTGCCCCGGCCGAGGCGCCGGATATGGCGACTCTACTGAGGTCCAGCTTGAGCCGGGCCTGGCCTTGCGAGGACGTCGACCACAGAAAGGATTCCCATGCATCGTGGATTGCCGCGGGGAAGGGGTCCTCCGGCGCCAGCCTGTCCCAATGAAACGTGTGAGTCAGACAAGCGGGGCTAGGAAAGCAAAGCTTCACAAGAGACGTCACGCGTGCATAGGGTCGACGAGGCTGAATGGGGTGGTGGCTAACCTGTAGTCGGTGGTGATGACCACGGCTCGAGAGCGGACACAAATGTGCGTGCACACTGTGTTCTCGGTGTCGATGTCGCCGAACACCCACCCCCCGCCGTGGTAATAGTGCACGAGTGGCCAGCCAGACCGCGGAGGTGCGCCGGGAGGAATAAAGCAGCGGATGGGCACCTCCGGGCCCGGGGTTTCTCGGCGGGACAGTGAGAGGTCGTGAATTTTCCCAACTGGCAGTGGCTTGCTATGGCTGGGCGGCACGTTTCCGCTTATCCGAGCCACCTCGACCGGCAGCAGATGGACCTGTTGGGCATGCAAGATGTACTTGTTGTAGAAGGCCACATACTCGGGATGGAGGCGATCTTGCACACTCGGGTGGAGAGGGTTGGGCGGCGACTGTACCGGGGCCAGCTGGGCCACCATGTCTGACTTTTCGGGGTTGCTCTGCCGGGCGCTGGGAGTCGTAGTCATGGACTGCTTCCACAGGAGAGAGGAGACAAGGAGAGGAGAGGTTGGTTTGCCATTGTTCAAATACACCCAGGCTGTGGGTGCACCGTGGTTTGGTGGCCCAGCACGGGGTGCCTGTGAAGCTTTGCTCTAGCCCGAGCCAACCGCTCTGGCGGGACAAGGTCGACGACGGTGCCACCTGTACTTGAGTACAGTAGCGTCGAGCGCCCTCCCTAGTGGTCCTCGTGGTGTCTGTAGTCGCGGCACCGCAACATAGGAATCCAGGGTCTCGCCAAGTCGCCTGTGTGGGCTAAAAAACACGTTTGGGACGGCTCTGTCAAATCAGGCACGTCCTTCTGTCGATTTGGCCGTGTAATTGGCCCGCACCGAGGCCGGGAGGAGCTGCATTATCAAGGTCCAGGCTTGTTGAGCGCTATTGCGTGGGGAGTGGGAGTTGCAGTGGGCTGGTACCGGTATCTCATCTGCTGCTACAGGTACCACGAACACACCTCGAGCCGGGCCCTGTTGCGTGCAACTTGCGTCACGCTACCAGCGTTTGTGCAATGGATTTGCCCCGGAGGAAGTGGCACTCTGTGCTGCTCGGCCAGACGCTCTCCGCCCAGTGACCCTGTACCTCGTACACTGGGGAGTAGCGCTTGCACCACTTGAGGTCACCTCCCTCTGTGTCCTTGGATCGAGAGTGACTAGCAGAGGCAGCGTCAAGCTTGGAAGACGGCTAGCACTAACTAGCTGGTGGCGGATCTCTCCTGGCTACAGCATCCCTTTCGAGAGATTTGCGGGCCAAGGTTTGGACGATAGCCCAGTGTCCAGCTTCGTTAATTATTGCCGAACAGCAAAGCGAATCGGAGTGGCAGGGGCCTGCGACATGATGCAGTGCAGCTTCGGAGCCTGCCAAACTTTATGCACTCGAAGGTCCCCAATATCAGGTAGTTGTGCAACCATTGACTGCTCGGAGAATTACCAGCGCCGTGGCATCGACTATCCCATTGTACTCCGTACCCGGGCAGGTAGATTCAGTCACTGGACTTCGATCCACGGGAGCGGTTCCAGACTCGGGGCGGCGGCCAACATAGCAAAGTGGGAAGAAGGCGACGTGCATACAGTGTAGTGCTCCGGGCCTGGGCAGCATCTCCGCACATTCCCGACGACCAGGGGAAAGCTCTTCTGGCTGTGTCTCTCGGGCGTCCAACTCCCTCTCATGCAGAGCACAAAACGATGTGGGCAGCTTGCTGGCCAAATGGACCCCGCCACGAAGCTGTTGTGGAATGGTCGCTTTGCACCAGAAGGGTACCTAGAATAGAAAGGCCATACGATCAGCATCTCTCTCGTCGATCCCCTTCGATAGCCGGGGGTAAAAGGCGTACGAGGTGGTCGAGAGGCTTGGGCGTAGACGCCGGGGACTGGGCGGCTATCCACCAACTTAGACTGCCCAGACTGCCTTTCGTGGCAGTAGATCCTGTCCCGCGAATATTGTGGTACATAGTAGAGCTATGAAAAGTGATAATGTCTTGTCCACTCCTCCGACTCTTTGCATCTTCCCGGTATCACACGGCACTGGGCCTGAACCTTGTGCGACGGCACGGGCACTCGCCGCAGAGGGGCGCCGCCAGTTCCAATCATGCCTGACCCGCGTGTGCCAACAGCCCACTTGCCCTTCTCTCGAACCTACTGTAAGGCATCTGCGGTCGAGAGAAAGTTCACGTGGCCCGGATTCAGTCCGCTGCGATCCCGTCGGACTCGGGAGGCCCCTTGTACACCTTTCGGGCGTGGACTACATACCATACCGCCGAGATGCACATGAAGCCGACGAACACGACGCTCGCATAGTTCATCGTCACCACTGTGACAGGCAAGGCCGAGGGCATGCTGAAAAGCACCACCTCGAAGCTAATCCAGCACAGAGCAACGCCGTTCGCGATGGGACCGATGATCGGACCACAATTCCAGCGGGCAGTGGATACCTCCTTCCGCCGATGCACAACACTGATTGCTATCGGGATGGCATAGCTTACCGCCAGAGCAATAACGCCGACCGAGACGAAGGCGAGGAAAGCTGATGAGGAACCCAGATAGATCAATCCGAGCAACATCTGCACCACGGTGGTGAGGATGAGAGCGTAAAGAGGTACACCCAGGCGTTCGTCAACTCGTGACCAGACACTGGCAAGGGGCATGGCGTCGTCCCTGGCAAAGGCCCAGGTACACCGGGAGGCAGCCACGGTGATGCTGATGCTGCAAAACATGGTGATCATCAGGACCAGGAACATCAGGCCGAGACCGCCGCCAGGCGTGCCCATGACAGTACGGAAAATGTATGGTAGCGCTTGGCCGTAGGGTGCCGCAATGACATCTTCCAGTGGAGGAAGTGTGAAGCAGATGGGCAGGATGAAGAACAGGCCAGCGGTCCCGCCGACAGGCACGCAAAGGCTGATGGCCGTCGGCACTTTGACCGTAGGGTTCGCACATTCTTCCGCCATTGCTGAGATCATTCCGATGGCGCTGAACGTATATGCCGCAGGCAGGAGGCCGATGAAGAATGTGAAACCTCCCCACCCCGAAAACGACTTGTCGTAGTGCCCTAGCGCATAGCTAGCACTATGTCGACCGACATCCGCTTTGACGGAGAGAGCAATCAAGATGATAATGATGCTCAGAGCCGTCCAGCCGGCGCAAATCGTGTCGACCACCGGGAGGAATCGATTTGCGAACGCACAAATGACCAGGGTCATCAGGCAGATAGCGTAGAATATCAGGAGCAACTGCCAGTCTTTTGCCACCCAGTCGGGATGATACATCGCCACGGATGCAGCGATGAGCGAAGCAAATCCAAAATTGACCGAAAGCGCTGTCTCAACGTCAGCTCTTGCATACAGCCACGGCGAGAATGTCCAACATCATGAAGACGTCCATTGCAGCGCGGCGACCACCACGCCTCTGATGAAGCCTTGCGTGGCCGTTCCTGGAAACTCAGGTCACCCATACGGTTGACCCGAGTACTGCACATCCTCCCAGCGATGTTGGAGAAGCTTATCCGATGCCCAGCCAAACAAGGGGTCGCCGTACAGTGGTAGAAGGCAAATTGCAGGGCTGAGGAAGTTACTCACTGATAGTCCAATTGCCAACGAGCCATGTCCAGCCGGTGATGAACGACAGTGCAGTTTTCCCCTTTGTTGCCAACTGAAACGACCAATAATAAGGCCCCGCCGACGTAGGGTATTTCGAAGCCAGCTCACTCAGCGAAAGAGCTATGCATTCGTCCATGACAAGAACGACGATCCAACCAACGAAGATGGACAGCGGGCCTCCTCCGTAGATGGCCGAAATCAAGGGACCACCCTCTCCATAGGGGATGGCAGCAATGGCCAGCGATTGAAACAGCAGCGTGGCCATGGATCGGTTGCGGTTCAACTCAGGCTTGTAGCCCAGCTGATCCATTATCTGGACGTCATCGATGCTGCCAGCTCTGAGAGAAGCTCTTCTCCCATCAGCAACGACCGGGGCATCGCCCACGGGAGGGGCCTTTTCGGTGTCGACAACCATGGTGGTGGAGCAGTCTTGGCACTCGTTGTGGTGTACACGAGGAAGAGTGTGAGTAGACTATTGATGCTCTGTGACACCGGGGGCGCTGGACTCTTATGACTGTTCACCCGCGAAGTTGAGGGAGGCACCCTGCGGGAACGACGAAAGTCCGGTCATCCTGTTGAAGTCCTTACCAACATAGGTCGAGAGGAGAGGACAAGTGGAGATGTCCCTCTCCCAAGCCGCGACCCCGGACTCTCGAAAGTGTGGGTTAGCAAGCAACGGAAAGTCGCGATAAAGCAATGACAAGCATTTGTTTGATATCGTCGAGCCTCCACAGGGATTGTTATACGTTTTCGGGCCTAGTGCGGATAGAGTTGTCGATTTGGCAGACCCCGAGCCCCCCAAACTCTTATCAGTGTCCAATCACCTCGGGGTGACCTGCCTCGTTTCCTGTCGAGCTCGGTAGCTATCTCAAAAATAAAGGTGATGGAAATCCGGGACACGACAATCCCCATGCTTCGGAGCATGATCGATTAGACTCCTGGATAGTGAATCTCGAGGATGCGTCCGCCCTGGTCGATTGGTTGAAGCAGGAACAGACTCCAACCACGTGCCTCTCAATGCAGGTACCCCTGAGCGCTGCACTGTCGTGTCGACGATGCTGCTTGATGAGTGTAAGAGCCACCTAACTTGGTTGCGTCTGAAACTCCCATATCTTCGAGTAGTGGATCAAAACAGCCCGGAGATGGCGACAGCTTAGAACGGCGTGCTGCCCAATCCCGACCAGGACCTTCTGGATGAGATCCGTGGCGCCGAGAGTGTGGCCCCATTGGCAGATTGCGGGCAAAAGATAAGAGGAGGATAAGAGCAGTACCGCAGCCTCGCGAGCACTTCTCACCTCGAGATTCAATCGAGACCCAGGTGCTGTCAGACAGCACGTGGAATATTGGACCTGCATCTACGGCATGATCTCGGACGTGCAAAAAGGCTGGGAGGCCTGCGACAGAATTGACACTGTCTTCGTCCTGGTCTGCACAGTTTTCTGCTGGCCCATTATACCTGCTGTCGGACTGGGATACAGCGGCTACTCTACCAGACGGAGTGGACTTGCTTCGTTCATTCCTGCTGTGTTGACCGTGTGTGTCTGCTCGATCCAATGGTTCGTCATCGGATATACCCTCGCTTATGGTGAGGGTCCTGGCGGGGTTGTTGGCAACCTCAGATATGCATTTCATCGGGGCGTGCTTGCGGAGCCGGTTGGAAGCATTCCTGCGGTGCTCTTCAGCGAGTTTCAGCTGGTCTTCGAGGCCACTGTCTGTGCTATAGCGGTTGGAGGAGCTTGTGAACGTGGCCGCATCCTGCCGTTGATCCCATTCATCTTCGTACGTAATCGAGGCGGTACTGATCGCTTTGCCTGCTGACACCTAGGTACAGCTCTGGTCCACCTTCATCTATTGCCCCCTTGCTCACATGGTTTGGGGCGGTGGGTTTCTGAGTGAGCTCGGCGTGCTTGACTTCGCTGGCGGTACTCCCGTCCACATTTGTAGCGGAGCGACGGCTTCAGCTCTCAGCCTGTACCTGTCGTATCCCATTGCACGGTCTCGGAAGTCCGATGTTAGAACGCCTTCCCATCTCAAATTGCACCGCCCACACAACTCGATGTGCCAGGTTCTCGCACTGATCATCATCTGGGGATCGTGGCTGGCTTTCGACGCAGGCACCACGCTCACTCTCAGCTTCCAGTCCGTCATGGCACTGTGCGTAACTAATCTCTGCGCATCGGCGGCTGCATTGACCTGGGCATCGATCACCTATTTCGAAACAGGCAGATGGTCCTTGGACAGTACATTCATGGGAGCAATTGCTGGTTTGGTGATGATCACTCCAGCAGCAGGCTTCATCGACCTGCCCACCTCCCTCTTCTTCGGAATTCTTGGAGCTGCCGTCTGTCGTCAAGCGCTGCGAATCAAGTTCACAGATTTTGCTCGAAAGTGGAGGTGGGTCGACAACGGAGATACGTTTGCCACGCATTGCGTCGGCGGGTTTCTCGGGACCATCTGCACTGGTCTTTTCGCCCAGAAGTCTGTGGCAGCATATGGAGGGGTCGAGGTGGATGGAGGAGTATTCTTCGATGGCAACTTCCGTCAGCTTGGTGTCCAGATCGTGGAAGCATTGATTGGTTTCACCTGGTCTTTTGCCGGTTCATTCGCCATCATCGCTTTGATTGATTGCATTCCAGGCCTCGAGGTCCTCGCCGAAGACAAGTAGGTCGCCCTTGGGCGAACGCCACCGGCTTCGTGCTCTGCTAACAACTTCACAGGGAAGTTAACATGGGCATGGACGCCTCCCAAATGGACGAGAGTCTGTATGAAGCTCAATGGGCTGGAGAGGAGGACTACAAACCGCTCGCAAACGGTAGCATTCTTCTGGATTAGATTTTGCGTGTTTGCGTTGCCGACGCGGGATCATCCCACAAGGCTGCCGTGGAGGAGCATTGTGCTCGAGACAGAATCCGCGAGCTAGAACCTACAGCAATGCTCTTCTGCGAGGGACATAGCTGGACATAAAAATTTCGCCAAGATCAAATGAAGACTGCGCCCCCCATAGCTTGTGTGTGCGTCCACTTTCTGACCCGAGACCGTAAGAAAAGTGAGATGGAAAGTGGCTGGAGGCTGTAGTTGGGCAAGAGTGGCATGTCCTTGGGGGCGGCGCCTTCTGAAAGTGATAGGCCTGGTGTTTGATCAAGGTCGGCGAGATTTTGGGTAGCAAGCCATGCCGTGTACGTAGACAACAGAACAGTGATCGAACCACAGGTGGTGCGAAGCACAATTGCAGCTCACCAAGATGATAGTAAGCCGGGGAAAACGCCCAAGGCTTTGTAGAGAGAAGCACCAACTCTGGAGTAATCGAGAGGCGTGAATCCCGTTTCGAAGCAATAAGAGTGAGCTCGAGGTCAACCTTGAGGCAATGAGGGCGGACGTCACACATGGCTAAACAATTCTGCCCCCACTTTAACGGGTCCGCCATGGTAAGATAGCTATTATATATAATATGTCTAACTTTGCGTACAACAATCGCCTCAGAGTGGCCGGATGGTGTAGTGTTAGTACTCCCTGTCTTCCAGCCGATTTCACATCTAACAGTATCAACAGTGGTTATCACATCTCCTTAACATCGGACGATGAATGCGGAGAAGGTCTTGAGTTCGAGCCTCAATCTGGTCAGAAATTTAGAGCACTTCAGCTCGCCCCTTTTTTGGCTTCTCCAGCATTTTTAGGCCACTTTTCTTTTGGGAATGTTGAGCGGGTTCAGCAGTACGCTCCCACAAGCCCTTACATTCTCGAACATCACACGATGATCTCTCTTTCTCAAAGAATAGGCAGGGATAGCGCCGGTGGCGCCCCAAAAGAAGAGTTTTCCTTGGGGGAAGCGTCTGAGGTATTCACTAGATTCTCTAGTCCTCATTTCTTAACCTTAGCCTCTAGCAGGTGGAGATGCCAAATTGCGCGGCGCTGTGATCGCTGCTGAACGGCCGACTCCTCATGACCCCCATTCTTGATGCCCATCTAAACTTGGCGAGGACACTCTGCCTGGAGGTCGATGTCGGCATGTTCTTGGGACCGCGACCGCTTCAGCGTCGATAAGTTGCTGTCGGGGATGATTCCGAGAACTAGAGCTGAAGTCGACACCGCGTCGAAAGCTGAAGGGTCTTGATACCTTGCCGGATGAGTTGTTCCAGCTTCTCACGACGCGATTGTAACTGTCCACACTGCCAACGATCAACCCTGCGTGGGCGGCCAGTCCGGACCCAGATCCTGCCGTCTGCGATTGAGCGGTCGAGATTACAATCTCTCTCCTCAAGGCATCTCCAGACAGCGTGGCAAGGACACGATGAGCGCTCAGATGAGGGGCTTTGATTAGAATGCCTCAAGAGCCGACCATTGTGTCGACCTACTTCACTGGGGGAAGGCTTTCGGTTCCAGGCCAGCAGAAAAATCGGGACGCCGTGGATTTCAAGCAGTGTCTGGAGAAACACAGCCCGCTCACCTCTCCGCGTGGCCAGCCTTTACCCAACACGACAGAGGGTCCGATGGAGGTCGACGCAGCTACCCAACGAGCAATCCCGACCGAGGCCGAACCCAGAGCGGACGATGGGAAGTTCGTCGTCCCGTGGACAACCGTTCCGTGCCAACGTTGCCAACACCAACTCATCTGGCTGAGTTGGTGTTCGTCACAGCTGGAGCATCTTTGGTGGAGACAGGCATCGCCACAGGCACGGTGGGGAAAGCAGGCAGCTCCGTGAAAAGTCCCTCCCTCGCCAGCTTCTCCTACTCTGCTTTTGCCCTCGCGGTTGACGAGGCATGTCTTTGTTTGGCGGTGACCAGGCGACTTAGAACCTCATCTATCACTTCCCGCAGCTGTTGCATGCCCGTCGCGTTGGTCGAAGCATGAGAGTCAGAGATGAGTGTTCGGGTTTCCGCAAGCCTTGCGCGGTGGTTATTCAGTTGGTTTCGAGCATGGGCCAGCCTTTCGACGATAGTCTTGAGGTCGTGCTGCACGAAGCCCTGGTCATACCTGCTCAACACCGTGGGGTTACGGTGGGTTTTCCTGAAGAAGGATGGAAAGGGAAACGTGTATCGTGCCTCAAGCATCGCGTCGACGAATTTTCGAAACTGCGTGGCCAGTACCTCACATTCGAGGCCAAGCGCGTATGTCCTCTTCAACGTTGCGAAGCATGAGGAGGTGGCCCCGGCATCCTGCGCTATTTGCTTGTCGAACGCGTCGATCAAGGGATAGAGTATTTTTTCAACACGGATGTATTGCTGCGCGGTCCCCGTAGACCACCAGTGTCTTGGGAGAACGGGCAATTCGTGGACCATCACCTGAGTGTCCTTGAGAGTGTGGAACAACACCATCAGCATGCTGTCTGTCCCAATGATTATGTCGAACATACAATTCGCGCTGTCGGCAAGCCCCTGGACGTATCTCTCTATCGTCTCAACGAGCGCGTCCTTTGCCGGGAGGGCGACGTTGCTCCACCGGAGCTGTGCTTGCTTTTCCAGAAGAGGCATGTTGGCCAGCTCAAAGGAGTAGACGTAGGGAAGTAAGGATCCTGAGATTTCGGTCCAGCCCTCAAGTTCGAGGGTCATTTCATTCAGTGTTCCGGAAACCGCCTGCATATGGAGAGGCACGCAGCGGATACGTAGCCAGGTGGCGATCCACAGGGTCGTTGGACTCGCGCAAAGGGCGCCTGCGCCGGGTGCCGACTCGGTGGCTCGCCGCAGGAGGTCTCGAGCGCCAGCTGGGTCGAAGACCCAGCGACCACCCACCACGGGCAGTCCGGCGACAGCAGCGACCGCACGTATAGCAATATCGAATGCAACAACAAAAGTCGCCTCCAGAAGACTCCAGCCTCGGGCGGCCACGTCGATCACGGTGGCACCCACGTTTGACACCTGCCGAAGCACCGACCAGACCATACCGAGCAGGATGAGAAAAAGCATGACATTCGCCAAGAGGTGACTCGTAACGAGCTTGTCCATGGGAGCGGGCAAGATCCTGATGATGCGGCCCGTCGTCGTCAAGGTGGGTTCAGAAATTGTGCGGACACGGGCGTTTTCCTCAGCCTGTCCGGAGCCAGCGTCGGGTTCAGCTTTGGAGCGGATCTTGCGTGGAGATCCCGACGCTGCAACGCCAGAGTGGTCACCGTCACGGGAGACGGTCGGTGTAGGAGTATAAGTCGAACTTTTAGAGCTCGAGGCGCCCGCGTCCGTTGGGGAGCTGTCGTTGAAACTCGAAGCGTCGATACTCACGTGGGGGCTCTTGTCTGGTGCAACGAAGTGTCGACGGTGTTGACCTGATCGCGAGGGTACCGCATCACCGCGGTCCATGAGGTAGGTGTCGGCGTTGGTGACATGCCCTGTCTTCAGCCGCTGGCGACGTTCCGTTCGTTCTGTCATGGCGGCTCCCTGCAATCTACGGCGCCTTCTACAGGGGTGTGTAACAGCATGGGGATAGAAACAGGGAAAGAGGGATTTGTTCGAGGAGGAGACAACGGAGGGAGGAACGCGCCCTGACCTCGTCGACTCGCACGGACAGTACCAGCCACAGTACAGGATGGCTACCAGCTGCAAGGGGCCAATATTCTACCTGGACTAAGAGCTTTCCCTTCTCGCGACAGCAGGTGACCGCTGCTTTCGCTCTTGATCCTGTATTGGGCTGATCTGCGCTTTTGCTCATTCGGCCATCAATGCCGCAACTTCATCCTGAGTGGGCAACGAAATTCACATTCCTCGCTGCCGTGTCCGGAATCCCTTTGTCAACAAATCGAGCCGAGCCGTCACTTCAGCAAACATAGCTCAGGCAAGGGACAAGGGATGCTTCTTTCCACCATGCGGCAGTACGACACCGGTGCTAGCTGATCAACCTATGCCCGCGAGAGTGATCTGCTCAATGTTGCCCGTCACTTCCCTCGTCAATTGCACCGGTACAGTAGACCAGCAAACACGGCCAGCCACAGTGGAGGGCCGAAGAAGATGAAGAAGCAGGATCCCTCAGAGAAGGCATTACCAAAGACTTCGCCGGCTCCTAGACTGCGCGTTACCCGCTAAACCACAATTGAACACGAACCTGGCCAACCTGACGATGTCAAGGTGCCAAGCTCGAATGTCGTCTGTGGCCATCTTACCCAGCGCTCAAGCTTCGTTTCACTGTCTCATACCTTCGAGAACGCCGCTTTCCAGAGTGGCGAGAGCAGTCCGTCGAGCTCCATCGAGAACAGGTCCGCTCATTCTGCATCCTCCAAAACTTACGCTCGACGTCGTCTTTCCACCAGACCTCCCTCCGCTGGGGACGCGAAACGCACCGAGACTGACGTGGACTCAAGACGCTCACGGCAGCACTTGCCGTCGGATGTGGTCGAAGCGCCGGCAAAACCCACATCCTCTGCCTTATCGAAGCGTCAGCAGAAGCCGCCCGAGAAGGCTGTGTTGCCACATTGAGACCGATCCGGCGCTACTTAGTTTCTCGTTGACGGCAGGAAACATCGCGGTTCGCTAACCTATGTTCTGGTATTTCTTGTTCAACTGACCGTCTAGAGTGGCGGCTGGATCATCCCCGGAAAGCTCGGGATTTTGGGCGCTACGATTCACGAAGTCAGTGCCAAAAGCTGGCAGGCTGCTGCAGAGACACTGTCACTCATGCTGGGGAGCATTTGGACTATCAGTCTGCCCCTGACGCGGCCCGTGGCAACAATGATGTATCCGTGTAGTCGAAGTCTCCGGCGCAAGGGGTTTGCTTCGACACGCGGCTATTGCCATTGATGGAGACGCTCGTCTCTGTACAAATCCCATTTCTTTCATGGCTCGCAGTGTGGCTGAGAGTTCCCTGTCCCGAGCCAGGCCTCCAAAGCCCATTCTTTGTGGCTCTCACCAACACTCGCGTGACCTGGGCGATTGAGCAGACATCTAGGGGATGATGATCCCATATCGATCCGTTCCAGACGAGTGCTATGCCCATTCAGCAGCAGCAAAAGGGGCTCGAGTTCGCCAACGTTGACATTCCTGAAAGAAAAGTGCTTGTCAAGAGGACGCAGGATTACGTCCACGGCCTTCTTATGAGTGGCGATTGCATGTACCAAGTGATACTGTGGACTGGAGGCCCTGATGACGCATGTTAGCGGAGCCCTAGAAGATGCTCATTCTGGTGTCAGTGAGCTCGCACTGGCCCAGAGACCCTGGTGGTACCCAGACCTTAGAGAACCTCTCCTCCACCACCAGCGCCATGAACGACTGTGATGTGCTTCGCAGAGATTGCCTAGCTGCGGCCCAAGAGCGGCTTGGGGAGGAGCAGCGATCATGGCTGGACAAGCCTGGCCCAGTACTGTACTAGCTAGGTTCATGGAGCAACTCGCACCCTTTGCACGGATGCCTGCAGACGTGTACTCTCGAGAGTGGAAGAAGGCCACAGTCATTTGACAGGACGTCGAAAACAACTCATGGTCGCCAGGTCTACCATGTCAAACTCCTACGGTCTGTCATCTGATACCGGTCTGAAACAGCTGCTCGAGGTCTTTCATTATTACATCGGCGTCCTAACCGCTACAAAGGACGGGATGACGCTGGCAAAAACGAGGCATGTGGAAGAGTACGAACGAGGAAAGGAGGCAGGCCTCTATCCAGCTTTTTTGATCTGACGGTGACGAGGTTATCTGTTTGTCCCCCAGGACGAATCGATTTCTGCTTGCGCTGGAGGCCCCAAAAGTCAAGTCCTGTGGCGCTCACTGTACAATTCCGTGGATAAGCAACTGCAATGACACCACCTTTCACACTTTTCGGTTCTCTCTTTCATCGACATTCCCGTTCGAGAGAGCCATGCCATGGGTCGTATTTCCAGCCGGGTCACGAATGTTTTCAAGATAGTGACTTTGACCTTTTGAGACAGGCCAGAGCTGATTCCATGAACCTCGTGGAACGCAGTCAGAACACAAGCAATGTCATCTTCTGCAAACATGTTTCTTGTGTGTAGAGTAGCAAGAGTCCAGAGTAGCAAGATTGTGTTAGGTCGGACCAAGTCGTTTACGCACCTCAATGTACTCCGTACTCATTCTTTGCTTCCCAGCCTCACGCCTCCCAAGAACCCTGCTGACAACGGTGCAGAGTGGGACTCTGGTACAAGATCAAGGTGACCTCTCCTTTGCGAACTCAAAGGGTCAGCTGTGCCTTCCCACCTAGTGAACTTCAAATGAAGCACTTTGACGACCCCAGTCACGACAGTCAGTTGATAACAACTCGGCAGATTCAGAGCCGATGAGATGAGAATCACGGTGGTTGCTCGTCGCCGATCGCCTTTTGAATATCCTCGACCAAGCTTGAGACGTCGGAGAAACAGTCGACCCAGGCGTCAAATTCTTTTGGGAATTCTACTTCTACTTCTGCTCGTCTCGTCCAATAAAGACAGAGTCTTGATTTGGTTTGATTCGGGCCTGCCATATTGAATACTGCGGACCCCAGAACGCGGGAGCCTTAACCGTAGCGACACCCCTTTCCCCTGGAACGAGTTCCACGGCCGTACCATAGTCACAGTGGCGGGATGTGGTGAGTTGGGTCCACGGGCAGCCGTAGGGCCTTTGTTGTCTTTGTGCGTTTCACCGCACCCGGCATCGGAGGCAGCATCAGTATCTCTCAGACAAAGGCTGTTCCACGCCGGCCGCCACTCGTAGCCGCATGATATAGCTTGACCAATGTGAGTTTTTTGTCGGCGCTCTGCGCGGCGAGCATCAACCTTCTACACATGGAGCCTGGAGAGCAGCTGTCCGGTGCGTCGTCGCCGCCGCACGGGGCCCCCAATCCCGAATCTTCAGCGAAGGCAAGCGATGGCGGCGGATCGCAGCCCGGACGCGGAAACTTCAAGACAAATGATCACCGCGCCCGAAGTTCCTGGATCGAGAGCGGAGCGGTCGAGCTGTATTGCCAGGCTCTGTTAAGCCGAGCCCATTTCCTGTTTTTCAACTCGATACCCGAGGACGTCGATTTCCGGACGGACCTCTTTATCCAAGGCAAAGAGACTCTCGAGCAAGCAGAGGCATTGTGCATGTCGGATCGATACTCCGTCAGCGAGCAACTGATGGCCAAGTGCTGGTACATCAGGGGCTTCCTGGCGGATGTCGGCGGCGACAGGCGCGGCGCGGCGGATTGCTTCGAGCAAGCCACCAGGCTCGACGCGAACAACATGTACGCCAATCTCAAGCGTGTGAGGTGGTACCGACAATGGCAGGAGAACGGCCAGGAGCTCGGCGACATGTGGAGTAGCGACATCGATCGACCCAGCGAGCGTGGCCGGCCTTTGTTCCACCATGCCCTTGGCGAGGTCGAGCCGAACGATGGACTGACGAGGGCGGGGACATCAAACTCGCATGATTCCCGGAATAGCGCGCTGTTCGACTTCCTCAAACTCGACATCACGAGTAGACCGCGGCCTCAAGACAGCCGGTCGAGGGAGGCGGCACCAACGCCGCTGCCGCTGCCGCTGCCGCAGCCCACGATGCCCACGACGCCCACGACGCTCCATCACTCGCCTCCAATCGAGACACCACCTCATGCCCGAGCATTCGGAGCCGTCGATCTGTTCATGAAACAGCTGATAGAAGAACCTAGCAAGGCCATACGACGGGCGTCCGAGGAGACTCACAAGATCTTGATGCAACATGTCAATTCACCCGAGAAGGACGCGTCCCTTCTCGCGGCAGCCAGGGAGGACAGGAGGAGGGCCATGCAGGAAGCAGCAGCGCGCGAACAGATCAAGCGGCTGAGAGAACAACTGGAGACGAGGAGGGAATCGACGGCGAAGAAGACCATCAGACGGCCGTCCCGCCCCTTGGCCGATGAAGCTCTCTTGTCAGACACACCGGGCATTGGAGAGCTGGATACGCGGTTCACCGTGGGGGATCGAAGCGCCGGCTCGCCCATTTCGCCCATCTCGCCTACGTTGAGGATCAACACTCGCGGAGTCAGAAAGTCGTCGACGCCCGGCACGCCATCGTCGGGTCCGTCGGGTCCGTCGGGTCCGTCGAGTCCTTTGAGACAGTCTGCTTTTCCTGTCGACGTGGACGAGGAGGAGGAGGGCCAACAATCGGTTCCAGACTGACGTTTTCGCAGTGAGGCAAAGATGTAGGCCACGGCAAGGATAATGACAAGGGCGATGAAATCTCTGTGTACTCTATAATAATTACTGTAGCAGCCATGAACAAAGCGCAGGAAAGAGAGTTCGCCGACCGTTGATTTTTTCTGTGTTAATATGGTGCGTGTACTGAACGAGTATGCATCGCCTGGCACGGCCGTTGGTATGGATGTATTCCCCAGTGATTAGCGCTGGCGGGCCCGTATCCTCATCATCTCCTTGTACGAGGACGGGTTCACATCGACGAGCGACGTCCTGGCCTAGAAACCTTGGTATACGACATAGTAAGTTACAAGTCTCTTCTACGCGCGGATCGATCTACCTTGAGTAACCTCGTACACCCTCTTGCACCATGGCTCAAAAACAGTCTTCAACTTGGGTCCGCGAATGTCCAGGCACGGCCGGTTCCGCCGGCGACGAGACGAGGAATTCAGAAGGTATTACCTTGGGAGACGCTTCAAGCATGGGAGCATCAGCGTATGGTGAGGGCTGGCTAGCAAGACCAGTCGCCTGCGAGTTCTGTCAGAGACGAAGCAGATCTCACGCAGGATTCTGCGGCTCACCTCCCTCTCACAGTTGTTTATGACCGGCTTCACATCGCAAAACCACGGAATGAAAGTCAAACTCTTCTCAAGAATGTACCAGCTAGGGTTCCACGCTCATGAAAAGTAGATGGCCTGTCAGAGTAAATCCGTCGGTACCTCCCGTGCAGGCCGGCACGAAGCCAAGTCGCCAAACACAGGTCAAAGATCATCACCACTCTCTTGTTCTGGTCGTGATCCGGAGACCGTAGACGCAGGACGCAGCGAGAGCAAACATAAGGCTTCACTCTAGGGTACCGAGGACTTCGTTTCGTCAGCCAGGTTGAGGTCCGCGGCTTGTGTGAGAAGCTCAGCGGAGGACGTTTACTATAGAAATGATTCTATGAAGTAAAGTCTAGAGCACTGTGTGTTAGCAAAAGGTCATCTGGCGCAGGACATCAAAGTGTAGGGGGTAGGGAGGAATTTCGTACCGAACTGAAGAAAAGAAAAAAAATTGGAAGGGATCAAGCAGAAGATATACCCGTTCACGCAGGCTAGCGTGCCAAACTCATCAAATCCGCCAAGACCCGCCAAGAGAGTTTCCTTACGGAGTACGGTGTACCTCTTTGATCATTTTCCGTGGACGGTCACGTGCTATTCGCAGTCGTTTCATCGTCAGGACACTTTTCCAGGCAAAGTTTTCACCTTCTACAAGTGCCCCATCGCAGCCACAGAAAATGATCGGGCTGCTCAAACCAGAAGCAACTGTGGCTCAGGCAAAAGCATCACCCCCTTTTGCACCAATACGTGTACCTAGACTGTACTAGAGACAATGTCTTCGCCGTGAATCTGTGTGAGGAGGCTTGCTATGGCAGACTCGAGCACCTCCAGAGACTGCCGTAGTGGTATAGCTCCCAGTCTGCTGTGTACACGGTACACAGGAACACTCGTACTGTACCTCGTAGCCCATGTAAAATTCGACCGCATTCTCGCACATTAGCCAATCACATGATTTTTATAGCCACGGGCGTTCTTCGGTCGGACTCTCCCTGGAATTTTCTCACCTAGACTTTATGACTCTAGTGTTTGAGGTGGGATTGCGTGTTTGCTGGACGACTCGTCAGTGGAGGACAGCCATCTAAGAAAGACCGCCCAGGTCGCACTGAAAAAAGCAGTGCTTCATGAGCAGTAGCACAACTCCGCCCCGACCGCTTCTCTGAGTGTTGTTGCTCTGGACCAATTGCTACAATGGTGGTCAACAACTCAAAGTACTCCAGTACGCGGTACCAGGATCAGTCGTCACGAGAGTTCTTCAGCTTCGAGGAGGTGGTGTTGAAGGGCTTGGCCTCTGACGGAGGTCTATTCCATCCTCATGCAGTGCCCAACGTCAGGTCGCAGTACTTGGAATGGAAGGACCTTTCGTTCGCAGATCTGGCCCACCGGGTCATGAGGCTGTACATCGATGAAAGTGAGATCTCCGACCCGGAGCTCAAGTCGATAGTCGACCGCAGTTACTCGACGTTCAGACACCCCGACACAGTGCCGGTGGTGACGTTGGACGAGAGTAAAAATCTGCACTTGTTGGAACTCTTTCATGGGCCTACATTCGCCTTCAAGGATGTCGCGCTTCAATTTCTCGGCAACCTGTTCGAGTTCTTCTTGGTGCGCAAGAACAAGCATCTCGAGGCAGGGCACTCGCGACATCACCTTACCGTGATCGGCGCTACTTCCGGGGACACTGGCTCAGCGGCCATCTACGGCCTTCGCGGGAAGAAGGATGTCAGTATCTTCATCATGTTCCCAGACGGCAAAGTCTCGCCGGTGCAGGAAGCTCAGATGACCACCGTGTTGGATCCCAACGTCCACTGTTTGAGCGTGCAGGGGACATTCGACGACTGCCAGGACTACGTCAAAGCCTTGTTTGCCGACCCGGAGATGAACAAGATCCACCACCTGGCTGCCGTGAACTCGATCAATTGGGCACGGATATTGGCGCAGATCACATATTACTTCTACGCGTACTTCCAACTCCTGAAGAGGCGTCCTGAGCTGAAGCAAGCCAAGTTTGTGGTGCCCACGGGCAACTTTGGTGATATCCTAGCTGGATTCTATGCCACGAGGATGGGCCTCCCTGTCGCGAAGCTGGTCATCGCGACCAACGAAAACGACATCCTCCATCGATTCTGGCAGACGGGGTCGTACTCGAAGAAGCAAAAGCCCGCAACCGAGCCGCACGAGGGGATCGAGGAAGACGGGGCGCAGGCGCATGAAGATGGAGTCAAGGAGACATACAGTCCTGCTATGGATATTTTGGTGTCGTCGAATTTTGAAAGACTGCTCTGGCATTTGACGCTGGAACATGAGATCGACCTCCACCCACACGTCAAGGTTGAGTCTTCGGTGAGGACTGCTGGAGGCAAGATCAACCAATGGTTCCAAGACCTGAAGCGGACTGGTTCCTTTACTGTGGATGGGGAGATCTTGGACAAGGCTCGAGAGATCTTCGGTAGTTATAGGGTCAGCAACGCCGAGACCCTGGATGCTATACGAGACTGCTACAGAGGCGAGGCGATCTCGCTGAAAGGATATGTGCTGGATCCTCACTCGGCGATTGGCGTGGCGGCAAGCCTGCGAGAAATCTCCCAAGCCGGCTCCTCAACAGACGTGCCAGTCGTGTCGCTCGCCACAGCCCATCCAGCCAAGTTTGCTGGTGCCGTGGAATTGGCTCTGCGGGAAGAAGCAAGCTTCGATTTCAACCGGGTCTTGCCACAGGAGTTTGTGGGCCTAGACAGCAAGGAACGAAGGGTGTTGAAGGTATCGGCCACAGAGGGATTGCCTGGCATCCGCGAGATCATTACTCGTGAGGTAGAAAAGGAAAAGGGAGCGGAATGACCGCGACGGTAAGTGATGGGACGCGAGTCAGCGCAGATGTCGGCCACGGAGTTGACAGTCGAGGGGTGTGGTTATACCTCTATTCCTATTCAGCACGTCGGGCACTTGGTAGACCAATGATCAAGGCTTGTTGGACTCAGGCACAGCCAAGTACTTTGTACTCGTACTTCGAACCCCGCTTTCTGATGTTCAGCTCGCTTGGACAGGATGGATTGCGCCCGTGGCGTCGGACTCCGATCGTTCTCACACTCGCTTTCCACAATAATTACTGTGCCCGGAGTACGAGTACTGTCCTCTGCGCCAGGGACGTGGATCCTGCTTGCAGCATAAGTCGTGAATCTGGTGTCAATGAAAGTGAAACAATTGGAAGCTGCCGCCCCAGAAGTCCTTCTCTCTTGAAACCTGCGTCGTCTTCGTCTTCGTCTGATGTTATTGGGTGGATTTTCAACCTCTGCAAATGAGGCAAAGAGGAGATGAGGTGCGACAAAGGTCGAACAAAAGCACACCGCGTCTCCCTCCCTGCTCTGCCCTGTGTGCAATATCTCCGCGTCTCCCTGTGTGCAATAGCTTGCTGCACAATATATGTGCAGAGCGTCATGCCCAGCACTCGCTACGACTCTGAGACCTTTAAATGCTTGAATTGTCCAGCTGCCGAGCCTGAAGACAGCACGGTCCGATGCGCAGTTCAGCTTGCCCAGCCTTCAGAATCGTCGAGACATCCAGCTCCAGGACCGGGAACGTGCTGATTAGCTTCCGCAGCCTGTCGGTAAGCCAATTTCGGCGTGGATCTGGAGGCTTCGCCTTGCGCCACGCATGCAGTTGGAGTTCTGGGTTAGGCCTCGCTGCTTACCAAAGGCACCCCTGCCCGATGTTCTATCTTGGGTCTTATTAGCTCACCACTACTGTACACGGCTCCCAGGGCGAGGGCGCCAGCCCCAGCCGTAAGCCGTCGCTGTTGCCATCCGAAGGCAAAAGATACTCGTATCATGGACGCGCCCTGTGGCCGCTGCGTCGGAGAATCGGTGTGAGCTGTGAACCGCAGTGAGCACATGAGTCCGTCAGTCAGTGTGCTGTGACCGTGCGACTATTAGTCGTTGCTTGTTCCAACTCGGTCTGCGTGCCCGGCTCCTTTACATGAGCAACGAACGACCGCCAACATGGAATCCGGGGCAAAGCGGTAAGCACGAGTTCACGGGGACACCGCAACCTGGAGATGGAGACTGACATTCGTTCCAGGAGACACATCCCGCACTGGCCGCCCTTCAAACAGCCATATCAACAGATCGGATCGACAGACAATGTACAGTTGACTCCGCTCCCCGTCACAGGCGGCTCAAGCCTGCCGAGCGCCAGCATCTTCAGTCCAGGCCTCAACAGTGCCACCGCATACACGCCCGATCCGCTAAACAGTACACCGCAACCCCTTCTGCTGAAACCGCTGGGCACGGCAGACACCACCGCGTCAAAAAGACGGAATGGAGGATGGAAGACAAGTTCGCGCATAGCCCTGGGTTGCGCCGTTCTGGTGCTCGTGACCAATATCTGTCTGACCGTCGGGCTGGTAACGTCGGGAATGGACATGAGAGGAGGTTCGTGCACGCACACACCGTGGCGAGGGAATGTTCGCAGCTAATTTTGACTTTGCTCAACCCAACAGGTATCTACATGGTCTACGCCGGTGACTGTGGAAAGGTCGAGATGAAAGATACGTGGGTGCATCTGGGCCTCAACGTCGTGGCCACGGTATTGCTTGCCAGCTCGAATTACTGCATGCAGTTACTCTCGTCGCCCAGTCGAAGTGAGCTCGACAAGGCTCATGCCAAGCAGAAATGGATGGATGTCGGGATCCCCAGTATGCGGAATCTTCTCTTCTTGAGAAAGAAGAAGGTCATTTTGTGGTGGATTCTGGGATTGTCGTCGCTTCCGCTCCATCTAGTGTGAGTCGCTGCATGTCTAACCTCTTTTACATCGAGCTGATATTTCCCCAGGTACAACTCCGTCTTCTACTCTGCCTTGGCGACGAACAACTACAGCGTCTTGTACGCCTCGGAAAGTTTTGTGCAGGGCGCGGCCTACGACAAAACCGAGTTCCCAGATACCGAAGCATGCAACGTCACCGAGATCCAAGCCGGCGCCAGGGTTGGGAATTTTACCGTCCTCAGCAACGACGACTGCATTCGGGCGTATGCGCGAGATTTCGTCGAAGACCGCCGGAACGTGATTGTGGTTGTGAAGGATCCTCCCTCGAATCAGGGCTCTCTGTTCAAGATCGTCGACAACGAATTTCCCGAAGAGATTACCAGCCAGTACAACCCTTTCTCCTGGATCTGTGATAACCCAGACATCGTCAATCAAACGGACGCTTGCTGTGAGAACAAATGGGGCTTCATACCGTGCTCGAAGATCACGCCGAAGCTCATCGACATTGCGGACCAGTGGTCGACCGGCGGGTTCGAAGTCGATCACTGCCTGTCCGAACCCGTCAAATCGGAGTGTCACATGCATTTCAACCTCATCCTCATGGGCGTGGTGCTGGCGTTCAACACCCTCAAGGCCGGCGCCATCGCCTATGTCACATTCTGGCTGGGAGAGTCACCCCTCGTCACCGTGGGCGATGCTTTGCAGTCCTTCCTCCGCAATCCCGATCCCACCACCGAAGGAATGTGCCTTGCCAGCCATGACAGCATCGTCGCATCCTCCAAGCTCGGCTACAAGTCTATGCCCATGAGATACGACCCCAAGCAGCACCGCTTTTACGAGGCCGCAACCTGGAGACAATGGGTATTTCTCCTTGGGGTGTTCTCGTTCGCGGGCATCGGAACGTCTATTTGCTTGACCCTCGGCATCGAGAACTTCAAGGGCGACAAAACGATCCAGAACGCGTGGTCCATTGGATTGGGCACGGTAAAGCCACAAAATCTGATCATGGGCTGGAATCTCCCGGGATACGAGAACAAGACGATTGCCATCTCGACCTTGATCGCCAACGCGCCGCAGGCACTGTTCTCGTTCCTCTACATCTGCTACAACACCCTCTTCACCGTCATGTTCCTGGCTCGCGAACTCATGCGCTTCAGCGTCACGGCCGGGCGAGGCCGGAAGTATCTGCGAGTCAGCGAAGCCCGAGGCGAACAGAAGTCGACCTACTTCCTGCAATTGCCCTTCAAGTACGGCATCTTTCTCCTCATCGGGTCCGGCTTGATGCACTGGCTCGTGTCGCAGAGCGTGTTCCTCGCCAACATCGCCATCATCCCGCGCGACGGGACCGTGCCCATGAAAGACGAGATTACCACGGTGGCCTACTCGCCCATCGGCATGATCTTCATGCTCTTCCTCGGCTTCTTCCTCCTGATCTTCCTCTTCGCCATCGCGCTGCGGAAACTCCCCTTCGGCATGCCCCTGATTGGCAGCAATTCCATGGCCATCAGCGCGGCGTGCCATCTGCCCCCCGGAACCAGCCAATCCGAGCGCGAGGAAATGGTCCTGAGACCGCTAAACTGGGGCGCCGTGCCGGGCGGCGGCAAGGTCATGGATCTGGGCATCCGGGAAATCCACGCCCACGGTGCGGAAGGCGACTTGGACGAAAACGGCACGGAGGGTTTCGGCCACTGCTGCGTCAGCGATCGGGTGCTGGAAGCTCCCGAGAGGGGGAAATTTTACATCTAAGCGACGCGGGAACCAATATGGGGCGACGTATGTAACGTACCGCATACGAGGACGAGGACGAATACTTACTTACCTTTCCCTCAGTATAGTGTATACCTAGTGAATATTGTATAGACAGATACAGTACAGTAGATCTCACGAAAGGTCGATGGAAGCTTGTTGCCCAGACATGCATAGAGATGTGACAAGATGACAAGATGACAAGATGGACATGACATGGCTTGACTTGACATGAGACGATGCGATGTATAGGATCATCGACGAGCGATGCGATACAATGCGACGCAGGAAGACTACTTTCAATGCATAGCGCCGGCGACTCGAAAGGACGGATACTGAATATATGTACGGAGTACGGAGTACGGAGTACAGAGGCAGAGGCGAGGACGAAAGCGACGGCAGAGGCGCGAAGACGGCTTCCGATTCAGATCTTTCAACATTTACGCGTATGGCCCTCGGTTTTGAGGGAGGGTAGGACGGGGGTTTTACATAAACGGGGGTTGGAGTTGAGGGAGGGAGGGTACGGAGTACTTTGTGTGGGTATAATTCGACTTGGTACTTCTGCCTGGTCTTCTACCTACAAGTATCTACAACGCTCCCGTGAGTGGATGGTGTGCCCTACCTACTGTACCTTGGTACTGCAGTCTACTGCAGTGCGCTGCGTACTGTACATACTGATGTGTATCTTCGCTGGACGCTGGACGCTGGACGCTACATTAGAAGTACATGTCTGTGTACTGTGTACTCGCACAGGCGAACCAATCGAAAGACGGAGTAAGTACCTTGTGTACCCAGTGGGTCCGCCGGACTTTATAGCTATATACTTAGGTAGCTATGGGTACCTAGGGATATCGAGACCAAGGAAGGTGTACACACGACCCCGGTAGCTGGGTACTACTTATGTCTCTGCTGGATGATGTCCTGTGCTACCTTAGCTTGTGTTGTCCTGTCCTGTCCTCTCCTGTGCTATAGCTATTTACCTACCTTAGGTACCTACCTCGTTCCATCCCTTGGTACTGTATCAGCATGGCATGTAACGAGATACTAGTACATTAGCTCGACTCGTTACCAGATCGTGGACAGTAAGGAAGCACATATACATAAGCACGTGGTATTTTTTTTTTGGAGGAATTGATTCATCATGGATCGGTGTGTTCATTCATCCAGCTCGCCGTCCATTCCTCCCACGCTCCATTCACGTCTGTCGGTTCCGGGCGGAGGGAGAATCAATGACAGGAAGGTAATGGCATGTTATGTATGCTGCGCCACGCAGTGCAAATTCATCATGCAAGGCGAATCGATGCACTCCGACTTCGACTTCGACGCAATGCAAA